TGTTTTTAAAATTTGATTTTAAATACGTTACAATACGTTTATTTTGTTTATACCGAATATCCAATAAAAAAAAACGATTTTATTTAGAAACCTCATAGATAGATAAGTGGTAGTCCATCTAATAGAAGACGGGCTCACTTACATCCGTTACTGTAAGTTTATTTTTAAATCAATAGGACTTTTACATTATTTGTCACATGAAAATACAACTGTGTTAACTTTGAGTTTCAGAGCTGTACCGATATTAATGATTTCCTTCTCCTCTACTAACTACGTTTAAACATTTTTCTATCTTGAGGTTTATGATGATGTTAGTTACAATATATGTACAATTACCTTTACATATAATGTTTGAAAATTAATAAATAAAAAAGAAACATTTGATTAATAACAAGTGTTTTTTCAATCATTACTTAATAAAGCATTGTAAATATGGTATTCGATTGAGTCTGATGGTGAGTATTCCTGTCACCACTTAGATGGTCTTTATTGAGTGTTATTTGTTAAATTAGTATATACATTATATTATTAAGTATATATACATACATGCATACATGAATATCAAGGTTTCATACAAAATTTTATTATACATTATATATTTCCGTACCTAAACAAAGATTGTGAGTGAACGTGTAATATGTCCAGTGTCCTTATAGTCACTTAGTGGTTTTCGTTACTAGTTTTAGCATCAAGTGCCTGTTTAGTTAGGTAAATAATGATATTATAAATATATAATAATGATATCATATCTAATTATTTCATATATTTTCGTATCTAAATATAGATTGGTTTAGTGGCTTTAACAATGATTCAGTATTGTTAAAACAAGTTGGAGTTATCTATATTACTTTTTATGAATGGATGGGGGTTAGACATGTTAACTAATGGATATATGTTAGTGACTTAAATTTTGGTTTCTTATTGTTACAATTATTTGGGTATGTCTGTAATACGTTTGCTTATACTAAGACGGAATTGAAATAGATAGACTTAGAAATAAGTGCATAAACCAAGCTTCCAAGTAGCCGTGATCGTCTAGTGGTTAGGACCCTACGTTGTGGCCGTAGTAACCCAGGTTCGAATCCTGGTCACGGCAATGTGTAACAAACATTGTCACGGTTGGAGGCATTATTTTATTTTGCCAGTAATATGTTTCCTTATACTAAGGCGAATTGAAGTAGATAGACTTAGAAATAAGTGCATAAGCCAAGCTTCCAAGTAGCCGTGATCGTCTAGTGGTTAGGACCCTACGTTGTGGCCGTAGTAACCCAGGTTCGAATCCTGGTCACGGCAATGTGTAATAAACATTGTCACGGTTGGAAGCATTATTTTATTTTGCCAGTAATATGTTTCCTTATACTAAGGCGAATTGAAGTAGATAGACTTAGAAATAAGTGCATAGATCAAGCTTCCAAGTAGCCGTGATCGTCTAGTGGTTAGGACCCTACGTTGTGGCCGTAGTAACCCAGGTTCGAATCCTGGTCACGGCAATGTGTAATAAACATTGTCACGGTTGGAGGCATTATTTTATTTCGCTGCAATTATATTATTAGTTAAGTTACTATTAAACTATGTTAATTCAACGACATACATTTTTATATATATTTGATTTGGTTTTTGTAATTTGTACTTTATAAATAAAAGTATTTATATATTTATTTCAATAAATATGAAAGTATATATTGTTTTGAATATCTAAAGGAGTTCTTTTCAGAATTTTAAATTTATTCTGTTTTAAAGTTCAGGTTTTTAAAATTGAACTTCTTTGTAAGGAAGATGTTTACTTATAACAAATGTTGAAAAAACTAATCATAAAATTTTCAAAAGAATATATATATTTGTTTCTATTAAAAATAAATTTTCTATTAGATGTTTAGTTTAATAATTATTTATTTGAATTTAAATAAATTTATATCTCCTCTACAATTCACTTTGTTTAAATTATTTATAATATAACAAAAATAAAACAATTAATATTATATAAATAAATAATTAATAAATGAGATTATTAAAACTAAAATAATTTAATAATTATTTAAATTATAATAAGCTCGAAAAAAAGTCCCTTCCGTGACAATGTTTGTTACAACATTGCCGTGACCAGGATTCGAACCTGGGTTACTACGGCCACAACGTAGGGTCCTAACCACTAGACGATCACGGCTATTGGGGACGTTGGTAAATTAGATGAAATTAGACTAAACTTTAAAATGCTTTAATCTTAATTTTTTTTATGTCTAAATCTACATATTTTCTATTTCCAACTAAAATTTAAACGCTACATTTTATAAATGGAAAAGTGAAAGGCCATATAGATACAGTGCCAAATATATTAAATTATTTTTTTTTGGTTTATTTTATTTGTTACTATTTGTTTATATGTTATTTACTATTTCTTGCTCACCAACAAATAACTTAAAAGATTGTGATGATGATAACTTCTAATATTATGTCGGGAAAAAAATACACAATTTTAATGTTTAGTACTTACTTACTTAGTTGGCCATTACAGACGTGTGTCATCCTTTGTCGCGCCGTATATTTTTAATGCATTTATAATTAATATTTCCAAAGAAAAGTTGCGATAATATAATATAAAAAAACTTCAGATACAGAGGTGTCTACGTTATGTATTATAATGTTTTAAATCATATTTTTTAAAATATTGTCACAAACTAGATATTGATAAAATAACATCCTTTAGTTTCACTATTTTTCCGAAATTTATTCATAACGTAAAATAGAAGATAATTTGAATACAATAAACTCAAAAATTTATAAAGATTATAGTGCTTCTGCTATATTGGGAGCCCAAGTTTTTCTTTCTCAGAAAGAAAGAATGATGCCCAAACTACTGTAACTTTTCTAAATAGTGTATTGCACCAAAATATTCTCTTACGAAGAATGTCTCATCAGATTCAGATTCAGCACCTACTAGTATAAGATTGTTCATGTATTTGTATAAAAATTGTGAAGAGTTCGGTGATTTCCAAATTAATTTCTAGTATTTGTAAGTTCTATGAATAACGTTAAATAAAGGAACCACTACTGAATCACCCATTAAACTGAATAGATTTAATTTTGTTTTTAATTAAATATTTTTTAACTGCTACTAATTTACTAGAATTAAATGAAGTCATAAAAAGTGTTTGCTAATTACAGCAATTTAATAGTTAGTGTAAGGCAAACACTTTTGTTCAACATATGCAGGATTTCGTGTTCATAAATGTTAAATATTTTCTTAATTATAAATAAATATGCATTTTATAATTTAATAGAATGTAATATTGCAGTTCATATTCACGCGATTTAAAAGCAGTTGTATTTAGAGGAAACTTTGAATTGGATGTGTTATAACAAACCTATTTCAATTACAATATATTACTTTATGTAAATATATATAACTATTATTAAAGTAATACACAAACATAAAAAGCATGTAAAACTGAAAATGAGGTTTATAGTAAAGTTTCTGAATGATCTATTATTATTTCCGATGGTGATAAAATTATAATACGAGTACAATTTTAAGGCAGAGTTGTGATTTGAAATAAAATTTAGTAGCTTTTTTATGAGCTTATAAATAGTTTAAAATTTATTTATTATTAAATTTTTTTATTTGTTGATATACAAGGTGTAATTAAAAAGTTATTTTTGAAAATTTTATCTTGTAGACTTTTAATCTTGTAAATAAAGTTTAGGCTGCGATCTCGCTTATTGTGTGCCAAGTGCATAAGTAAGACTTATTAATATATCTGATCATAGAGAATGTGTAAAATTTTGTTTTAAAAACGGAATTAAGTTTATCGAAATATTTAGAATGTTAAAGTCGGGCTTTTTTATAATATTTTGCCACAACCATATCTTTAAGAATGGTACAAATGCTCTCATAAAAATTGAAGAAAAAAATTGAAGATGACATGTCCTTACACATTTATCAAATACAAAGCATTTAAACCATTTATGCTTGCTAATTGAAGAATTTTTACGAATATATTTTAAAATGAAACGATAATGCTGTAACTGACTCATTCTCCAGATATGGAATTCTGCGCCATTCTTTTAAACATTATTCAAAATCATAGAGCGAGTTCAAAACTATATCAAAAGTTCATTCTTACAGTATTTCTCAAACTGTGACATAAGTGCATCATAGTAATTAATGGAATTAAAATTAAAGATTCAAGTAATATATTTCGAACAAATCAAACCTTCTCATAACTTTTCAAAGCCCTATGCTCCAGTGGGAGATACAAGATCTGATGATGGTAACTTTTTGATCACATTATGTATATTATGTTTTTGTTGTTATTTAAAAGAAAACTCAAAATCAGGAATATAGTTCTATATTATATAGTTATAATAGAATAATAGAAACGAACCCAATAATATGAGGAGTTATAAAAAATTAATGAATAACGCATTGATTTTTTTAATTAAATTATGTAAATTTGTTGCAATTATTAGCCTTTACATTGATATGAAATATTGACAACAATCAATTGAAAACCACACATATTAAATCATTAAATAAATTATTTGTCAATTTTTTCAATGTTATATGGTATAAAAATGTTTGATGTCTTTTTAAGTTATACCATAAACTATTTTCTATTATCTAATTTATCTTAATAATCACAAAAGACTCTCAATCAAAATTCTTTTTAATAAATTTATCAATTACCTACGTTAAGTTTATTAATTTAATTTTCATGTTTCGAATAAGAATTAACTAATTCATTTTGATAATTGGGTAATTAGTTTGTTTTCTAGACTAGTCAATTTTATGCAATCGAAAGTAGATAAATAATTTTACTAACTAAATTAATGTCAGCTGTAAGGCATTAGAACTTTCTCATTTAATTATAATTAATTTCAAATGAATACCTTAACTCCTATATAAGCAGTGAAATTTCTTTTCATATATTTTGTATAAATCTCAGCTTTGCCATAAGATGTGTACAAAATTTTGGTGCTTATACCTGCTACTGTATACAACGATGCAAATTGGCGCTTATAATTTTGATAATCTTAAAGAAATTATACGACATGTACGACACTTTCATAACTTTACTAATATTCCAGTGTTTGTGGGAAGAGATGTTGATTCTATCGCTTTAAATAGCTTTCAGGAGTTCCTAAATGAGCAAATCAGTTCAACACAAATTATTTTTACAAGAGAGGCAAAAGATAATGTATGGAATTTATTGCGAAATTATGTGAATGATGAATTGCTCAGCATTGTGTTCTGTGAGTCAAGCACAGATAAAATTTGGCGGATCGTAGATAGACGTTTGCGTAGACTACGTCGAACAAAACTATTAGTTGTGCTGAAGGATGTATCGTATGATAAAAATTTCATGAACCAAATGTTTTTGAGATTATGGGATATGCAATTTCTGCAAGTTATTGTTTTTAATAATGCAACCATTTTCAATTACACACCATTTCCGCAATTAAAAATCTCATCGATCAGTTTAGGCAGTGAAGATATATTTCCAACTTTAAGCACAAATTTACGGGGCTACACTGTATCAACGCCGGTGGAAAATGATGTACCGCGTATATTTTGCATAAAAGATTCGAAAGGAAAACTACATATAAAAGGATTTGCATACAGAATTTTTAAAAACTTTTTACGTCGCTTAAATGCAACTCTGCACATAACGAACCCACAGGCTAAACGATCCATCACAACCAGTGTGAATATGACACATATTAAATATCTATTAAGCACACACCAATTAGAAATTACTATGCATCCATACACTGGTATAAGCGATAATGAAGGCATTATGAGTTACTCTTTGTATATATTGAAGAACTGCCTCATAGTTCCAGTGAAAAATGAGATCCCACGTTATATGTATTTAGTGCGACCATTTCATTTGAGCACGTGGTTGTTGATAGTATTAGCTTTTGTCTATGTTGCATTTATATTAACTTGGTCTAGTCCTGTGCTATTACGTGATCGTAAATTGTCTGATCGTTTCTCGCGTGCATTTTTGGAAAGCATTGCTCAGTTAACATTTCTATCATCCGTATATCGCATAAATCTACCTAAACTTCCTTACTTATGCATTTATTTGCAGTTGGCAATTCTGGGTTTTTTCATAACAACTTGGTATAGTAATTTGCTGGGAAGTTTCTTCACGACATTTTTGGTTGGTAAGCAGGTGGATTCCTTTGAGGATCTAATTGCTACAAAGTCACTTATATTAGCAAAATATTATGAAACGAACTTGCTGCTAGAACAAATTCCAACGCATCTAGGAAAAAAAGTGGAACCTCTGATAGTGCCTGTAAATGCCAGCGTACAAGTATCTCATTTATTAAACTTCAACACAACATATTCATATCCTTTTACTGAGGAACGTTGGATATTTCTATCACTTCAACAGCAATATGCTAATAAACCCATTTATCGATATTCTCATATATGTTTCGGTACGCCACGTATAGCGTTTCCTATGCGAACCGATTCACATTTTGAACATCCTATGACACAATTCTTAATGGATGTACAAATGGCCGGTTTGGATCGTTATTGGCTAGTGGCTGATTTTAAGGATGCACTTAAGGCGGGCTATGTACGTTTAATTGATAATATCTTACCACTTAAAGCATTGGATTTAAATAGTTTACGATTAGCTTGGTGTTTAGTGGGTGTTGGTTGGACTGTAGCAATTTTAACATTTGTTTTGGAGATTTATGTACATCGAAGAAGAACTTATCAGAAGTCCAATAAAGTTTTACATATATCAGATGTAAATTTTTAGAATATTTTTATATTGTCAAGTTAATATTATTAATCAAAATTGTTTCTTTATCTTAATAAAATTTTCAATTAAATAAAAAACTATATTATTTTTGTTTTTCGTAATAATAATAGTAGTAAGTTAGTAAAAAGATTGTTATTTAATTTTATTTTTAGTATGGTATTATTTTTAATTATTTGTAAAACAATTTTAAAAGTATGAAATATATTACTTCTTTTTTAAATATTATTATTAAATAATAATTACTTTCTATACGGTTCATAGAAAGATGTGATTAATAAGAAAATTGCATTTTTTTTTATAATAATTTTAAATATTTAACTTATCTCTACACGAAGTATAAAAGAAATTTATATTATAATACTAATATATATATATAATATATATATTATTATTAATACTGTTTATCAGTGATGAGGAGATGTATGCCGAGAAGGAACATATCAAGGTTTACATATATATATATATATATATATATACATATATTTATATCTATCCCGCTTTTGATCTTTACAGATCGATTTCATTTACAACCAACTTTTTCTTGTAGTTGAAATTGATTCCAGAAAATGTGAAAGCTTTCTCACTATTTAGGAAGAGTAGTTTTCCTAAATATACAATTTATTATACATCTGTGTGTTCTATTGTAAATGTTATGCATACTCAGAGATACTAAATACAATTTAAGTACATTTTATATTGCAGAATATTCGACCGTACCGGGGTTCCATACTCGTTTACGTACTTTAAATGTAAACTGTAAGTTAGTCTTATATTTAATTTACTGTTCATGTATTCTATTGAGGATTTTGTTTTAACAGCAAAGTTACTAACATTAATTATTACTGTCAACAGTTCTGCTAACTTCAGTTTTAAAGACTTACATTTTTTTTACGTTTCCACCAATTAAGTACTATTTCGTATAAATGTAGTATCAAAACTATTAGTACTATTATTAGTATATTAGTAGCTTTATTCTACTTCATTTAAAATTTGTTATATTACACAGAAATTTATAACAAGTGTATTATATATATAAAGTGTGCAGTTATGGCATTTTAGTCGTCTGCCGAAAATATTTGGAATGCTTCACAATTGTTCGTGTCATCTATAAATTCTGCCGAAACAAGAACTATTATTACAATGTTAACTAAAGACTCCCCAACTTTCGACTACTCAGAGACCTTTCATAATATTAGTTGTAATATTAATCGTTGAATTACTGCTTCAATTTATTTTGTTTTAAACAGAACTCTCACCTCCGACTTCTTTTTAAAAATTTTCCGAAATTATTTATAAAAGACTCTTCCCTGTAGCTTGTCTTGATTGTAGAGCAATTTTTTTCATTTCCATTCATCCCAATACTCTGACTGTACAACTAATAAAAGTAAATATAAATAAAGTAATAAAAATTAAAAAACAATTTTTATATATATATGTTTCGGATGTTTATTTTTTATTGTCATAATTAAGAGTTTTACTGTTGACATAGCTTTGAACTTGAATTTTAAATAAAAATGACTGAAAACACAGTTCAGATTTATTTGCACTACTTAAGGTAATAAAGGACATGCATGAAAAAGTGCATGTCTGTTGCAATTAATCAATTTAAAGGTTTACAAATATTTAACAATAAATGTTGCAATTTTTGTTTATATAATTAAAGAACTAAAACGACTGCGAAAGGGGCACATTTTTTCTAATGGTAGTTGCTTTTAAGGGCTTTTAATTACCAACTAAGTAATGATATTTATATTATATATAAGCCTTTATTACCTGTTTAATTAAATCTTTGAAATTTTTTAATCCATTAGCTAACAACAATATAAGAAGGAAAAACAAAATAAAACATAACAATCTTACTAAGATAAACTGTTGAGATAACAGGCTTACAGCGGGTTTGCTGATGATTCCATATCGGTTAAAAAAGTATGGTAAGATATTGAAAATCAGTTTCAATGACTTTTCAATTCTGAGAAAAATAAAAAATAGGCTGCACCTTTGCTTTATCCATATTCAGCACATATGGAATGTAGGTTAAGCATGTTGGTACTTACTTTTTTCAACATTTTACTCAGTACAACCTTCTATTAAAAACCCCTTTAGTTCTCATTAATGATTCAAAACCTATACAGTTTAACGGCAACAAAACGGGCTTACGGGTCTTATTGGATCTTTAGAAGTACTATAATAATCCATTTATTTCTTTTCTTTTTATTTCTTTTATTTAATAAAAAATTTCGCTGATGTGTAGGATTTTGTTTGATACAAAAAATCCGCTCATGTCTGCTTGTTTGACGAGTAATTTAAGAATACTTAATCAAATATTTATTTGCAATGTTAAGGACTCAATAAATCAATTAACTACTAAATGCAATCATTTAAAAGGTTCCAACATCAATTCAAGAAACTCATTGTAAGTTTGCTTTCTTAGGAATTCTAAAGCATGCATAATGCTAAATGCTACTACTGCATTATTACTTTTATCTGTTGGAGCAAATGAAAATTCTTCGCGTAACAGCACATTACCTTATCCAAAATGGGTAAACGAATCATTTGTTATCGAGATTGTGCATGAGCTACATGATGTATATAAATTTAAGAATTTCGTCTTTTATATAACGGAAAAATTAAGTTTACACTCTTATGTGTTCCTTAAGTTTTTCAATAATTTTTGGAAAGCTTTTCCTACAGCACCGAATATTATAATAAGAAGTTCGAAGTTTGCTTATCTTATGGATGGGTTTCTAAGTACTCCTTCTTTATGTTTGGTACTTACTACAGGACCTGCTGATCCGATTATGGAATTGGCATCCGAAAGTCTAAAAGGCGTTCATATGTTAAAGACAATTTTTGTACTCTTTCCCATTCTAGACTCAGATGATGTATTTTCAAGTTCCAAGCGTTTTAAAAATTTTTCCAAAAGTATACATTTAACCTATGAATGGATTTGGAAGCATCAATTCACTAACACGATTTTATTGACTAAAAATAATAATGTGTTCATTCATGAACCGTATCCCGTACCAACAATTGTTAACAAAACGGAAAACTGGACTGCAGAGGATTTTTTCATCAATTATATGTCTGATTTCAAGGGATATGTTGTTGATACACCCATCAGATTTGATGTGCCGCGTGTCTTTTATGGATTTAATAGACAACAAAATGGAACAAAAAACACTATCATAAGTGGAACTTCATTGGAATTATTCGTTTCTTTTGTAGAGAGCATCAATGCAACATTAAATGATTCGACATTTAATAGTTCTAAACTGGAAACAGCCAATTTCGACTTATTAATTGCTAATATTGCAGATAAATTAATTGAAATAGGCATCCATTCTTTCACCGATATGTATAATATGGACATTGGCCGGAGTTATCCGATTGGCATTAATGACTGGTGTATAATGGTGCCCTATAAAAATCGTTCTCCTGATAACCTTTACTTAATGCGCACATTCCAACCACTAATATGGTATTTAATATTTTTCTCTCTGGTGTATATATCTGTTATTCTATGGATGTGTATAACTGATGGACCTAAGGAATTCAGTATTTCAATGCTACAAGCTTTGTGTTCTTTACTGTGCATAGTTCCTACCAAAATTCTGCTCATTCCCACCGCACGTATGAGATTTCTTTATGTTATGCTCTTTTTGTTTGGCTTTATGTTATCAAATATGTACATATCGAAGATGGCCAGCTTCCTCACTACATCACCACAGGCGCAGCAAATTCTTGATGTAGAGGATATAATTTCGGAAGATTTACATGTTATGGTGGTTGAGTTTGAATACAATATGTTAGCAGCTTCACCAAATAGCTTCAACAAACGTTTTCTAAAACAATTGCAAATTGTGGATAAAGCAGTTCTGGATTTGCACCGCGACAACATGAATACCAGTTTTGGGTATAGCGTGCAAACGGACCGTTGGAAATTTCTAAATAAACAGCAAAAATATTTGAAAAAGCCATTATTTCGATTGTCGGAAATATGTGTAGGTCCATTCTATCATGTTTTCCCTATGCAATTTGATTCACATCTAAGTACGCCATTGAAAGATTTTATTATGTATGCAAGTCAATGTGGACTGTATAAGCACTGGGAGGAGTCAGCATTTGCAGATGCATTGCGTTTGAAGTATGTTCGAATGTTTTCGATACATGAAGAAGCAATACCGCTTTCAACGAGATTCTTTCGAATTATTTGGATCGTTTGGTGGTTAGGCTTACAACTTTCTGGTTTAGTATTTATATTAGAAATGAAATGGGACTATATTATGAAAATGAAGACACATTTGCAGTTGAAAATCAAATTATACTTAGTTATTTTAAAAAAATATTTCAATAAATGAAATGTGAATTATTATATTAACATTGTTTTAAAACTACGAAAAGTATAATTTTTTTTGCTATGTGTAAAAGAAGTTTAATT